TACGACACCTCCGTGATCAGCACACGCTCAACTCGATGACGTCCCTCAAACTCTTGATCCAGTTGAGGCCGAGGGAGAGTTCCGTCAGCATGACAGCATGGTGACGGTGATGATGAAGTTACTAGCGCAGGGCTTCGCCTAAGCACTACGATGACATGACTGAGGTGTGTAATTGTGGAGGGGGGAACCGCACATGGCTAAGAGAAGACTTGGTCTGTCTTTGGGGTGCCCCCCTCCCACATATATAAAGGGGGAGGAGAGGTGGCCAGCCCAAGGGGGCGCGCCAGGTGTGGGGAGTCCTACTAGGACTCCCTAGTCCAAGTAGGATTCCCCTCTCCTTTTTCCTTTTTCGGAATAGCAAAGAGGGAAAGAAAGGAGAAGTAGGAGAGGGAAAGGGGGGCGCCGCCACCACCCCTTTTCCAATTCGGACTGGGCAAGGGGGACGCACGCCACCTCCCTGGCCGGCCCTCTCTCCTCCACTAAGGCCCATGTATGGCCCATTAACTTCCCTGGGGGGTTTCGGTAACCCCCGGTACTCCGAAACTCATCCGATACGACCCGAACCATTCCGGTTTCCGAATGTGACCTTCCAATATATGAATCTTTACCTCTCGACCATTTTGAGAATCCTCGTCATGTTTGTGGTCTCATCTGGGACTCCAAAAAAACTTCGGTTCATCAAATCACATAACTCATAATACAAATCGTCATCGAACGTTAAGCGTGAGGACCCTACGGGTTCAAGAACTATATAGACCTGACCGAGACACATCTTCGTTCAATAACCAATAGCGGAACCTGGATGCTCATATTGGTTCCTACATATTCTATTAAGATCTTTATGGGTCAAACCGCATGACAACATATGTTATTCCCTTTGTCATCGGTATGTTACTTGCCCAAGATTCGATCGTCGGTATCATCATACCTAGTTCAATCTCGTCACCGGCAAGTCTCTTCACTCGTTCCATAATGCATCATCTCGTGACTAACTCATTAGTCACATTGCTTGCAAGGCTCATAGTGATGTGCATTACCGAGAGGGCCCAGAGATACCTCTCTGATACACAGAGTGACAAATCCTAATCTCAATCTATGCCAACTCAACAAACACCTTCGCAGACACCTGTAGAGCATATTTATAATCACCTAGTTACGTTGTGACGTTTGATAGCACACAAGTTGTTCCTCCGGTATTCGGGAGTTGCATAATCTCATAGTCTGAGGAACTTGTATAAGTCATGAAGAAAGCAATAGCAGAAAAAGTAAACGATCATTATGCTAAGCTAACGAATAGGTCTTGTCCATCACATCATTCTCTAATGATGTGATCTCGTTCATCAAATGACAACACATGTCTATGGCTAGGAAACTGAACCATCTTTGATTAACGAGCTAGTCAAGTAGAGGCATACTAGGGACACTCTGTTTTTCTATGTATCCACACATGTACTAAGTTTCCAGATAATTCTATTCTAGCATGAATAATAAACATTTATCATGATATAAGGAAATATAAATAACAAATTTATTATTGCCTCTAGGGCATATTTCCTTTAGGCTCCCACTTGCACTAGAGTCAATAATCTAGATTACATAGTAATGATTCTAACACCCATGGAGTCTTGGTGCTGATCATGTTTTGCCCGTGAGAGAGGCTTAGTCAACGGGTCTGCAACATTCAGATCTGTATGTATCTTGCAAATCTCTATGTCTCCCTCCTTGACTTGATCACGGATGGAATTGAAGTATCTCTTGATGTGCTTGATTCTCTTGCGAAATTTGGATCCTTTGCCAAGGCAATTGCACCAGTATTGTCACAAAAGATTTTCATTGGACCCGATGCACTAGGTATTACACCTAGATCAGATATGAACTCCTTCATCCAGACTCCTTCATTTGCTGCTTCCAAAGCAGCTATGTACTCTGCTTCACACATAGATCCCGCCACGACGCTCTGCTTAGAACTGCACCAACTGACAGCTCCACCATTCAATATAAATACGTATCCGGTTTGTGACTTAGAGTCATTCAGATCAGTGTCAAAGCTTGCGTCGATGTAACTATTTACGACGAGCTCTTTGTCACCTCCATAAACGAGAGACATATCGTTAGTCCTTTTCAGGTATTCCAGGATGTTCTTGACCACTGTCCAGTGATCCACTCCTAGATTACTTTGGTACCTCCCTACTAAACTAATAGCAAGGCACACATCAGGTCTGGTACACAGCATTGCATACATGATAGAACCTGTGGCTGAGGCATAGGGAATGACTTTCATTTCCTCTCTATCTTCTGCAATGGTCAGGCATTGAGTATGACTCAACTTCACACCTTGTAACACAGGCAAGAACCCTTTCTTTGACTGATCCATTTTGCAGAATCTGGGCTCATCATCGCTTCCTCATAGTTCGTGGTTCGTCATGGTCAAGTAACATGACCTCCAGAACATGATTACCGTACCACTCTGGGGCGGATCTTACTCTGGTTGACCTATTAGGTTCGGTAGTAACTTGATCAGAAGTTTCATGATCATCATCATTAGCTTCCTCACTAATTGGTGTAGGAATCACTGGAACTGATTTCTGTGATGAACTACTTTCCAATAAGGGGAAAGTACAATTACCTCATCCAGTTATACTTTCCTCCCACTCACTTCTTTCGAGAGAAACTCCTTCTCTAGAAAGGATCCATTCTTAGCAACGAATATCTTGCCTTCGGATCTGTGATAGAAGGTGTACCTAATAGTCTCCTTTGGGTATCCTATGAACACACATTTCTCCTATTTGGATTCGAGCTTATCAGGTTGAAGTTTTTTCACATAAGCATCGCAGCCCCAAACTTTAAGAAATGACAACTTGGGCGGTCAGATACCTGGCCTCTCTCAGCTTCTTGATGTCCTCCTCTATGGCATAGGAAGGCATCCACCGACCTTGGAGGTTGGATCCGGACATGGTTGAAGGTCCGAAGTGCTTGACCTGAGCCTTGGGTGTTGGAGCTCGACGCGGGGGAAGGATTCGATTGAGCGCGAGAGGGAAAAAAGGACAGGCCTTGGCCTCTTTATAGAGAGGGTGAATATCAAGCGTCCTCCTCGTGGCCGTTTGGTACTTGCCTAAAATCGAGGAGTCATACCAACAGGCACGATTGGGTTACCCACGCCCGTATTGATGAGAATCCCGTAATAAGGGGGACACGATCTCTGCTTTGACAAGACGTGTCAGGAAAACCGCCTCGTGATATGTGCAGTGCTGGTTGAGAAAAACGGTTCGAATAAAGACCGGGCCATGACATGATGTCATGCTGTCAAAACATGTCAGCAGATTAGATTTGTGAAAATATTATTCTCTCTACGGTGGTATGTGGAACTTGTTTTGCAGAGCCGGACACTATCCTTGTGTTCAAAATCTTCTATGGAGTATTCGGAGGAGGAACCCGCCTTGCAATGCCGAAGACAAATCTGCGCGCCGGACTCATTGTCATTGAAGCCTGGTTCAGGGGCTACTGAGGGAGTTCTGGATTAGGGGGTCTCCGGACAGCCGGACTATTGGATTATGAAGATACAAGATTGAAGACTTCGTCCCGTGTCCGGATGGGACTTTCCTTGGCGTGGAAGGCAAGCTTGGCAATACGGATACGTAGATCTTTTGCTGCTTATCATAAGGAAAACTTGGTTAAGCTTGCGCATCTTTATCCTTTGGATTTCACGGAGGAAGATCTGATGCATATTCCTTATCAACTTACACACTTCATTACTGATATGCGTAGAGATGAGAGGTTTAGAAAGGTCAAAAACATAGTCGACCTTTCTATTATGCTTGTCGAGACAAACAAGAGTGTCACTTATAACCTTGTTTACAAGCTTCTCAAATTGGTTCTAATCCTACCAGTAGCAACAGCTAGTGTTGAGAGAGTGTTCTCTTCAATGACTTATGTGAAAAACAAGCTACAGAATAAAATGGGGAATCAACTCTTGAATGATTGCTTGGTTACATTTATTGAGAGGGAATTCTTTTTTGAAGTGAAGGATGATGTTGTCATTTCTTGCTTTCAAGCCATGACAAAGCGTATGGTCGAGTTGTAATTTTCTTATCTATTTTGTAATTTCCTTAATCTGTATTGCTGTTGTTGTGAACGAATTGGCTCCTCTGTTAAGGCCGATCCAGAATTGACTCATCTGTTGTCTTTCAGTTGCTTGATTCTGCTTTTATTGATACAGATGTTGTTGCTACTGAACAATTTGTATTGCTGTGAACGAATTAGCTCCTCTGTTAGGGTGAATTTTTTTTGAACACCCAATTTTAAATTCCTGGATCCGCCACTGGCGTGCATGGATCTATAATCTTAAATGCAAAGATTTAGATTTGTCCTCCATCAATGCACGCATATTATCCCGAAAGCAGCGGTGGCGGACCTACATGTTGACTAGAGAGGATGCCAATCTTCTCACTCACAACAAAAATGCCAAGTATAATCATAAAAAATGCTAATTTATCATTCGGTCATTATAATACACATAGTATTAGACTAAAAATACAAGATACTTGTTTGGCATTTTTGCAGGGGTATACGTACGTACGTTTCACACAAAGACCAAGTACGTTGACAAAGATTTATCCGTGGTAACAAACGCACCGCGTGTCCCTCACGAAGGGCCCAGATCGCGCCATCGCCGAACCCAACGACACCCCGACCGTCAGATCACCCATCCACACGATCATGGCTTGATCACCAAGTCAGACACAGGCGCATACGCACGGCCTCGCGGTCGCATACGTGCGCCCCGGCCCGCCGCCCCGCCATCGCGTAACCACTGGAGGAGAGCACAGTGCCACACCCCGCAGTCCGCAGCCGCACTACCCTCACTTCCCCATCGGCACTATATATGGCAGCCCCAACCCACGCCTCCCCTATCAATCGCCCCCGCACACCCACCACTCTCCTACTTGTCCACCTCCCCCTTGCTCCGGTCAACCCTGCGTCGGGGCCGATCTCCGCCAGCCATGTCGCCCGACGACGTGTCCCGGAAGTCGCCCGTGCCGCCGCCGTCCCCGCCGCCGATGGACTCGTGGGCTCGGGGAGGGCGTCGCTCCAGGCCCCGTGGCGGCGGCGGCAGCGGCAGCGCCAGCTCTGGCGGCGCCGCCGAGTCCGAGGAGGAGTACCTGGCGCTCTCCCTCCTCATGCTGTCGCGCGGCGTCCGCGGCGAGGTCGAGGACGGCGGCTTCGGCGGCGTCAAGGGCGTGGGAGCGGCGCCGACCAAGGCGCAGGGGTACGAGTGCTCCGTGTGCGGCAAGGTCTACGCGTCCTACCAAGCGCTGGGCGGCCACAAGACGAGCCACCGGAAGCCGCCCACGCCGCCAGCTGCGTCGGCGGGCGGCGACGAGGCGTCCGGCGGCGCCCCCGTGGAGGCCAAGGTGCACCAGTGCTCGCTCTGCCACCGCACGTTCCCGTCCGGGCAGGCGCTGGGAGGGCACAAGCGCCTGCACTACGAGGGCGGCGCCGCGGGCGCCGGGACCGGCAAGGACAAGGAGGCCGCCAAGGCGAAGGCGGCGGCGCTGCTGAGGGACTTCGACCTGAACCTGCCGGCGTCGGGGGTGGCCGGGGACGAGGCCGAGAGCCCGCCCCCGGAGGCCAAGAGGGCGAGGCTGATGCTACTAGCAATCTGATCGATCACTGATCAGTGGCGGCGGCGGCGCGGGATTTAGGTTTTTGATTGATGGTTTTAGGAGGAAATTCCTCTCTAGGTTTCGATTGTCATTTGGTTGGTTCAATTCGTTCTGGCCCCGGATTGGAATTGCGGCGTTGATATGGTAAGCGCTTAGCGCTCAGCGCTGGCGTGGCTAGCTGGTAATGGCATACCAAATTTGCTTACCTGTCCATGTTTTTTACTCCGGCCGTTGGATAAAGAATCCGGCGGCTGGCTGGGAATGGGATAGGACTTGCTTTGTAAGCCTGTGATCAAAACCATATAGAAACTTTTCTTCCTTCCTTTTTCAACTTCGTATCGAAATATCTTGGTGTGACAGTGAAACGCTTGAAAGAAAATTACTACTTACAGCTAGATCACGGAAAAAGAACTTATCTTTGCTGGCCGCTTTTCACTATTTCATCAGCGGCCGTGGGATGTCCTCACTAACACTGCAAGCAAGCAATTCAAACTAATCCAAAAGCTACACGCGGCTGGCTGTTAAAATAGGGCGTGCATACATGGACAGGGACATATGGATGCTGCTTTGACCTCTCAAACATAGGGAGGTTACAGACGACGGCCGTAATCAACCGTCCAGCCCCACCTTAATTGTTTCGACATGTAACCATCATCAACACTCAATTACGCTTGCTTCAGTTTCATCAACAAAGAATTTTGTTATGTTCAAAAAAAAACAAAGAATTTTGTTTTAGATAGAACAGAACCGAAGTCTCGTCGCAATTTAAAAAAAAAACAGAGCAAAAGTCAACTAGGGTTCAATTGGGAAAACATGTTGGCCTTGTGAAAGCCATAGTTAGTTTCCATTAAGTTCATGACTAATTCCCACATGGGAGGGTGGTCGAGGGTATAGTGCCGTAGTGGCCATGATGCATGCACTTGTATGTAGCAACCTGGAACATTCTCTCTTCCAGCTCCCATCCGTCTTAGCTTGTTGTTGAATGACGCCTCAGTGCAATGCATAATATGCATGCTAATTACGACCTATGACCAGGACTTGGCACTCCAGCTTTACTTAATTAACAGCGCAAGCTGTGTGTGTGCGGTTTCAGACATGTGTGTGCGTGTGCTTACCTCCTTGCTGACAGCTTTGGATATGGATCAAGCAAAAGGTTGATCAACTAACTAAGCAACGATACAATTGTTAAGTAGCAGTACTAAGAATAGCGAAGCAGAGAGGTCACGTCGAGCGTCCCGGGTGTCGTGTCTGCCCAGCCTCAGAAATGAGACGGAGTACGTGCGTGCGTGACCGGGATCGGCCGGGGTGTCGTTGTCGAGGCGGAGCCATGCCATGGGATGCATGCCCCGGCTCTAGAAGACAGGCCAACGCGGCGGCATCCACCGGACGCGTGGACTCGGCCTCCGGCTGCCGACGGCACGGCAGGTGTTGCATGCGCCCCTCCGTGCTACCAGGGAGAGAGGCGCTCGTAGGGAACGTTGTGCTGTGCCCGGCTGCTCCTAGGCACTTTTGCCTGCTTGCTTGGTTCATAACTTTATACTCCCTCCGTCCTAAAACAAACGTCTTAACTCTAATATAATTTTATACTAAAGTTAATACAAAGTTGAGACACTTATTTTGAAACAGAAAAAATATATCATTCTTAGATTCAGCTCTTTTTTCCGTTTGCCATAACGGTACAACCTCGTGTTGTTTTACCTATATGTGATACGGAGTGTCTGCATTCGGGGTGCTCCTCATGGTTAACTGAAAAAGTACTGTATTACTTTCTTCCTTTCTAAATATTTTTTTTAGAGAATCCACACTTTAAAATACATCTATATACATTTGTATGTAGTTTATATTAAAAACTCTAAAAAGACTTATATTTAGAAGCAAAGAAAGTATGTCTTTTAAGTAACCACATCTCACTTCTCAGCGTTTATATACTGGACGTTAAAATAAAGAGCTAATTACACTACATATGGTACATCAACTTGCGTGGTGGGTATAAATCCATACACAAAGTTAAAATATGACACAAAATGACCCTGCAATTCGAGTTTGATGTACACCTGGATACAATTCAGTCACACTCCATCAACTCTCCGTTACTCCGCTTGCATGTGGCAGGCCCCATGCGCTTCCTGTGTATGGGACCCACCTGTCAGTGAAGG